TGATTTCTAGAAGAATATTTTGTTCAAAGTCAAGGCATTAACACTTTTCACTTTTGTACCTGTTCATCGAAGTAAAGATATACCTATAATCATGCTCCGGCCGCACTCATTGCTATAACCCGAATATTAGGTGTAGATATTATGTGTAGCCAAGTATTCAGGAACCTTTCGGCACTTCGGGCGAAGCTTCGGGCTCATCGCTCCGCTGTCGGTAAACTCTCGCACATCGAAGGGTTTTGTCGCGATGCAAAGGGTTTCGTATATTATATGTGGCCGAAAAGATTCGCCATAGCCCGAACACGAAGTTTATCGCCCGAATGTTGTCGATGAGTGCATTATAAGCAAATTACAATATTAATCTAAAATACAACATACACAACACAATCTAAAAAACTTACATCAAAACAAGTAGAGAAAAATTCAGTTTTATTTAAAATCTCATACAAGTGTACTGTCACGTACACTCAGTTATAAACCGGTCGACAATACGACAGTGTTACGCATATATATATATAGGTATAGTGAGTACTTACCACGTGGTACCTTTGTCCCGGGAAGTGTAAACGACAAGGCTCTTGTCACTTTCGGCAAATGTAACCTTGAACGCTTTTATGATGTTTGGTGTAAGCGTTGGGATGAAGCGTTCTAAATTTGAGTAATTTTAAATTGTAAGTGGATGAATAGATTTTTTAGAGATGTATTTTGGCGTTGAATATTTTATTTATATTTAATGTAAAATACTTTTTGAGTATCTTTTTTAATGTGCAATATTTGAAGGGGTTGTTAATAAAACTACTATAAATTTTACTTCTAATTTAGAATTTTTGTACTTAGGTATTTTCCGCTATTGAAAACAATATTTTATCCGTTTGTTTTGTTTATATACCAATATCTAAGAACTTAGCTATCCGTTTGATATTGCTGTCTAAATATAAAATAAACAATACACAACTATAAATTGTAATAGGTACCTATGAAAAAATTTAAACGAATTTTTTGATTTGAAATTCGATGAAAATGTAACTCTAATCAATAAACAAATGACTAGGTAATTTTGGAGAAAGAATCCCATGTTTTTAAAACAAAATTAATTAGCCTTAGCCTAACAAAAACTATTTTGATTTGAAATGGCCAGTACTGCAGAACGGCAATTCCATAGGTAAAGACCTATTATAACATTTAAATTCTAACAGCAAATTGATTTTTTTGTTTAAAATAAGATATTGCACTACAACCAATACAAAAAGAACTTAAGACTATCTTAAAATAGTATGTACCAATGACCCGATTCTCTGTGATCACTTAAACCTAAATAAAAAAAAAAAACACTCCCGCTGGTCATCTCCAATTGGTTAACGTAACGCTATAAGTATATCATAGACCCGGCTAAATACTCTATGGCCTTCTCGACAGATAAAATATCTAACATAAAAAGAATACGGTAGTATCCAACTAAACAAATTCAATACTTTTATCCAAGTGTCAAAATCGATACTTTTTTATGTAATTTGTATGAAAAACTGAGTTATGACGTCATAGTATTTTTGCGTCAAATAGGTTACTTATTTCTTGATAATTAGCTACAAAATATCTAAAACTTAATGTATCGATCGATCGATGAATAAAAGTATAGTTATTTTTCGATATTTTACTGCGTTGAAACGTCGAATTAATTTATTTTTGACTTAGAAAACTACCCAATTGTCTAATTGGAACCAGTGCTTAGTTCCAGAATTTTTTACGTTCAAACAAATTCTTTAACTATGTAAGACGTCAACTAGCCGGCATATTACTCTTGCACGATATATTTAACAACAAATTTGACTGTCCTACAATTTTGGAAACGTTCAGTTTTAATGTACCCATTAAACGAACTAGACATACACCGCTTTTGGCTACCCCTTCTGCTCCTACAAAATATATTAAAATGTCACCGTTTATTCGCATCCCTGATATCTACAATAACAGTTTCTCGAACTTGGATCCCTTTAATTCAAGTCGCAATGTATTTAAGATTAAAGTCATACAGTCTTTTAGTCACTCATCGGGACCAATTACTTAATTCATGATATAACACTCCTCAGAAACACAACCACAAAACCACAGAACCTCATCCACTCAGTAGGAATATCATTATGTACCTATAATTTATACAGTAACATCATCGACTGACATAGATAGCTGCTTTCTTTATAAATGTAGCAACACTTCTGTGATATAATTCTACTTTTTCACGTGTTCCTCATAATTGGCGTAATGAATCAAGTATCTGTTTTAGTTGTAATAATGTAATTTTGTAAGCTGTGAAGAACCTTTAAATAAATAAAATAAATAAGTAAGTATGTAATATTAAGTATACATGTATAGTATATCCTCTACTAATGACCCGCTTCTCTCTCATCACTCGTGTCTATGTTATTATTACACTCTGAAGAAAGCCAACAGGTTTAGCATGAAAGCGAACTGAACGACTTTCGCTCAAATAACTGACAAATATTCTCGTATTAATATTAAAACACTTAAGTTTTTCATTTTTTCTTTTCTTCAGTTTGTATTCGCTAATCTCAGAAACAGCTGGCTCGTATTGCAAAAAATCCTTAGAGTAGAATAGTTAATCTTTCGAGGAAATCTATAGACGACCAAAAGAAAATGAAGAGTGGGTGAAAACACTATATTTCGACAGTAAAAGCTTTTGAGGATGAACCAGTTTTTAATTGATAGATTGAGTAGCAAGATTAATTTATTCATGGACTCATTTGAAAGTTTAATCATGGGAATTGATAGGTTGGTAGATTTGTTTCTAACTAGTGAAGTAGATTTAAATAGCTTGGTATATTATGTTTACACGGTTAGGATGTTTTGGTAAACACAAAAAAATAAGAAAATAATATTTCCTCTTTTAATTTGACTAATCAGATTTTTTTTAAAGAACATTACATTTTTAAATCTTAGGCTTGAGATTGAGATTGACATAAACAAACTGACGCCATGGTGGACACACTCCCAGTAAAAAAAACCTAAACAATAGTATAGTTAAAATAAAGTATGAGACTTAAAGATCTTAAATAATAACTAAGTCGTTTTTTGTTTTTATGTAAGCTGATTATCTAGTACGTGCCATATTACAGCTAATAAAACTTAAACAGCTTTGTAAGTACTTACATACATAGGTACCTATATACCTATACATAATTTCAATTTTGATCCAAAAAGGTTACATGACATGCTAAAAATACTATTTGTATTGTTTATTCCCAACGTCCCGTAACACCATAGTAAAAGTTACAAGTGCGTAGCTGGTCTTCTGAGGGTGTTGGAGAGAGTAGGATTAGGCTTCTGATTATTGCTGGCATTACCATTTAATTACAGCCCAGTCAAATGCCTTGCACCGGATACGATTTCAGACCTAATTTACCATTCCCTGTCAACTACACTAGACGACCTAGCTTTCTGTACAGTCTAAACAATTAGCATAGAAATTAATTTAGATACTGACTTTAATTCCACACAAAGTGGTGGCGTTTTCACTAATCTGTGGCGCAGTTCCGTCCATTGTTTTGAGTAGTTAAGCTTCCTTTTATTATGATTTAACTTTCTAATCTGATTATATCCTGCTAGTTAGTTATATGTATATAAAATGATTACGTTGTTTGAATTACGCATTGGATTTTAAGATCTTTGGTTGATTTCTCGAACAAAATTAAATGAGTCCGAATATAATCCGCAATGAAGGGATATCATAAAGTTTTTTATTCTTGGGGTCAACAAAACATCAAAGTCTTTATTGTACGTTATTTCAATAATTATTCTTAGCTAATTTGTGGTTGTAAAACATCATGATATTTCAAGTCAAATCCTTGAATTCAAAATGTATGTAATAAGGTACTTGCCTAACCCGGCAAACGTTGTCACGCCATATAAAAAATAAAACAGACCTTATCACTTAAAGGTTTGATAAATAGCCAGTAGCCGATTCTCAAGCCAAATAAGTATGCATAAAAAAGTTGGTAAAAATCAGTAACGCTGTTTCGGAGGAGTATGGTAACTAACACCTAACTTGTGACATGACATTGTTTAAGATTATTTTTATAAAGTATAGTAATTCGTTGGGAAATAAATTTGTTTTATAGTCGTGAACTTTAAAAAGTTCCGCTGTTAAAGTGATTCTTTTGATTTAGAACTATCATAATTAGCTAATCTCGCGCGGTTTCACGCGCTGCTCAGCTCCATTTGATCGTAGCGAGATGTTTTATACCCTATAGCACTCAAGAATATTGTCTATCAATGAAAGAATTTTGGCAATCCGACCAGTGGTTCCAAAGATTACCCCCTACATACAAACTTACAAACATACAAACTTACAAATTTTACCTCTTTATAATATTAGTACAGATTTGGAACTAGAATTACATATTGAAATTATATAACACACACATTAATTAAGGTAAATGTAATCCAATTGTGAGTGCCACACTTAAGATTGATTACTAAATGATAAATATCGTGTACTAGGCTAAGTATAAGTCACGAATTAGAACGTATATGTGGTCTAAAGTAAATTTTGAATGTCAATAAAAATAAATGTTTGCACAAGACATATGGGTAAGCTATTAAAGATTCATTATATATGCCCTTGTTGGTTCGTGAATTAAATAATCATTATTAAGTAATATTGGTAAAGATGTTTTGATTAAAAGGTGATTTTTGTAAGATGAAAGGCTATTTTACAACATAGGAGTTTGAGAGAGCCAAGATTCGGTACAAATGGGTCGGCTCGACCGGAGTGATACTACGGCCTCACAGAATACCGGCGTGAAACAACCACAGCGTTGTGTTTCGCCATCTGAGTGAGGTGCGGAGGCCCAATCCCGCCCTTTCCCGTATCCTATCCTATGTAGTGATTAGTATATAAAAAGCTGGTTTTGTAGAAGTTAAATTGCAATAGATTTGTTATTATTTTGACTAACATTCTCAAATAACATTAACAACCGAATTACCTGATGGTAAGCAATCAGCGCCGCCCATGGACACCCGCAACGGAGGAGTTACGAGTGCGTTGCCGACCTTTTAGGGATTAGGGATTTGGAGATTTAGGGATTGAGGAGGGATTGGGGGCGGGGAAGGATTGGGCCTCCGGTAACCTCACTCACACGGCGAAACACAACGCTGTGGTTGTTTCACGCCGGTCTTCTGTGAGGCCGTGGCCGCTTAATAAAAAAATAAAAATGTTATCTAATTTTCAAAAAAGAACATTAAAATGAATTTCAAATTAAGATCGGAACGCCTATTTCTATTGACAATGCGTTATTCAAGATTAAAATACAATAAAACCACAATATCGTTCGATCTAATTGGATCGTGTAGTTTCTCAGAATCCGCGCCCGCGCCGGACAAGTCTGCGTTATTATATAAAGACAGCATGTCCTACTTAAATCATGAACTGACTTTTACTGTGATATGGTGATTAAAGTTAATCCTTATGTTCTGTATAAAAGGGTTGTTCTTTGTTTGACGTCATCAGAAAATTTTGATGTTTATTAACAAATTACTTAAATAAACGTAATTGAAAAGTATTTTTTTACATCAATATTGTTTTTTTTTAATTTTATTTTATTAATCATGGCATTTAGATTCTGTATTAGAAGGAATTCGATGATTTTTATGACAGGGATGTATACCTGAAATAGCAAAAGCACAAGAAAATATATACCAAAACGCTAAAGAGTTTATTGTTTGTAGGTTTGTTAACTTGAACGCGTCAATCTCCAAAACTCCTAGATAGAATTTCATGCAAAAAATACGCTACTACGAATAAGAGCCGAGCAGCGAACAGAATCGCTCTAGCTTAGCTAATAAAATTTAAAGTTAATCATTAATGACCATTATATAGTCTACACAGGCAAGCATAGCTTAATTTTAATAAGGGCTGATTTTTCAATGGTTAGATAAAAGTAACAGGGAAATAATTATGATGCTGTCGCGCCACAATGTTTGTATAAGACAGTGACAGCAACAATTTTTATTATTCAGATAATATTTATTTATTGAAAAATCAACCCTAAATCACACAAAAGCTGCACTTTATGTCGATTGATATCTCGCTCCATATATCGGAATGTCGTAATACTTGCTCAACGGACTCACATGCGTGTGCGGCTGAAACTTGTCGTGATAATATTAAGCACAGTCTCTTAGAGCTGACTCATGCCATGTTCTAATATTAGGTAAGGAGATATATTGGTGGTGTTAAGAATGATTGGGTGTGATTCTAGATAAAGACTGCGTATTTGGTTGCGTGGTTGGTTACTTTAACTGCTAACCATCAAGGTTGGAGTTCGATTCTCGGTTTGGGCTAAGAATTTTCGAAAAAATATGAGCTTATCACTAGTTTACAGGTATATTGTTGGTGTTAAGAATAATTAGGTGTGAATAAAGATTGCGTATTTGGTTGAGTGGTTGGTTACTTTAACTGCTGACCATCAAGGTTGGAGTTCGATTCTCGGTTAGGGGTAAATTTTAGTTTTTTTTAGCTAACCAATAATTTTTCAGTTAAGTAAACTAGGCTAAATTGTGTCCGGTACTTGCAATTACAATATAGCTACCTAAAAATGCTCTTTAAAATGGGTATGGGTATAACAAAAAAATCTTTGAAAATCAGTTAAACAAAATTGAGAACTTCATCCATTTTTAATTCAGTTGAAGAATTGACATTGATATAAACTAACTCCAATCATCAATTATCGAAGTAGATTAAGAATGATTTTTTTAATTTAAATACTAGTATATAGTATATAGTTTTAGTTGATCATAATAAGGATCGGATACGTTTAAATATTCAAGCATAATAAATATAAAAAAATGATTTGTTTGCAGATGAAAGCGCGCATTGATCATAAGTAAATCCATCACTGCTACTTTACAATCCATTTCACTTAACCTCCAGCAAAACGAAAGTCGATTTAAATCGCAATACATATGTATAGCGCCGGGCTTTCCTCGCACATTCAACAACTTACAAACCTTGACACCAACTATCTTAAAACTTATACTTAATTCAATCTGTCTTTCTACACTATACAGTCGCAGATCAACCTACACCTTTCTGACAAATACCTCTGTTGTATTATCAACTTTATTGTTTTCGTGTAAAGCTGAAAGTTCAATAAAATTCGTAATGTAGCTTGATCTGCTACCTGATTTTGTACCTTTCATAGTGTTTCATAAGTACGGTCAATGTCCTTAAAAACCTTGGTTATGTGGAATTATACTTAAACTTGAATAAATTCGTTGCTAAGCCGAAATTTCGATTTTGATTTTTTAATTGGAGCACAATTGTTAACTGGTTTTCGTTGTCTGGTAAGAGTTATTGTTTTTTTTATTCAGTGATTTACAGTTGAATATAATAATTTACGAAATTTTATGACGTTAAATAAACAAAGGCCATTGATGGTATGCATCATAAACCAAATAAAAGATTTTAATAGTTTTCTATTAATTTTGATACATTTTAACAAAACCACAAATAGAATACAATTACTTTATTTACTTACCCTACAAATTAAAACTGTTGCATTTTTATTAGTTTATCCCAGTTTCTTAAATAAATAAATCTAGTTGTTTTTTGTACGTAATTTGACTCTAAGAATTATTGATTCTGCTGATTCATTATTCACCTGTGCAATGATATCCGCTTGACAAGAACAAACAATACAAATATATAATGTCAATCAAATTACAATTCAATTAATATTGTGATCATGATTCAGATATTCAATACTTTGCTATATTATAAATGCGGTGTCATTAACCATACAGTAGTAAATTAGTTATTTCTATTATTCGCAGATTAATAATGTTTTATATTACTTTTGCCTTTATTAATAAGTAGCTTATGCCATTGATTCGCCCGTAATACCAGGGTAAAAAGTAGCCTTTGTATTACTTCAGACTATAATCTACCTTTACGTCAGAATACATTCAAATCCGTTTTGTAGGTTTAATGTAAATGTAAAAGAGTAACAAACATATTTAGGTCCCAATCTTCAAAATTACCTCTTAAGAATATCATTTAGCAAAACATATTGTTTTGCTAAATAATAAAGACCACGAAACCAAAGTTTTAGCAAAACAATTTTTTTTTCTAAAACTTTGTTTTTGCCGACGTAGCTCGTAAAATTTGCGGGCTAAAGTGGAAGACCACGTCGTTTGAAGGACGGACGGTAGGCCCAAACAGTACTCGAGTGGCGACGAAGGACCGGAAAACGTAGCATGGGCACCACGTCGTCAGTTCTCGCTTGTGCAGGTGGCAACTTGTCGTTCGACGCGGAGGGCTAAGGGGAGGCCTTTGTTCAGTAGTGGACGTCTTCCGGCTGATGATGATTATTAAATCCATACATTACGCATACGCATACATTCAGACTGTACTGATATTTACTATTACCGAATCGGGCTTAGAAAAAAATATAATTTGTTTTATTACAACACAAACACACAACACTTTTTTTGTCCAGTTTTTTTAGTAATCATCAATATGGTTTGTTTTTAGGTCTAATAATTATTCGCTAAAGGTAGTCTATAACATAATGTGGACTTATTAGAGTTTGCATTGTTTTATTAAAACAAGGAATAGAAATAACTTCTTAAGTAGGTTTATTACGCTCTGTATTCTGTGGTTTCAATTTCAATAACTAAACCAATCGTTCGCCGCCCTTATTGTAGTTATTGTTCTGTCTTAATCTCAATAGATCTTGTTACACACAGGTATTGACCTTGTTTTGTTTAAGCTGTGTGTACAATCAAAATATATATTTTTGGTAATCACTACATAACATTCATCTTTATATATAAAAATGGATCGCAAAAGAAGAAGAAGAAAGAAGAAAGAAAGAAAGAAAAACCATTTATTTCAGACACAAATGACGCAAGAAACAAACATACACGAATATAGTTAAAGAGGGACAAAACAAGCAATGAACATAAAAGAAAAAAAAAGAAAAGCACTAAAATTGCGTCACTCATGCGTGAAAAATGTGTTGGTAAGCGCATAACTCAAAAACGCCTGGACCAATTTTGCTAATTATTTTTTTGTTGTGTTTGTCATTGTCAGGAAAAGGTTCTTATAGAAGAAAATATTAAAAAAGTGGAGGGGAAGATTAGAAAAAAGTGACCTTTTGATAGCGAGATAGTAATAACCATGCGAAGCGGGCGGCCCGCTAGTAGTTTATAATAAAGTCGCTTTCTTTGTCCCTATATCTCTATGTATGCTTTAATCTTTAAAACTAGGTACGCGACGGATTTTGATGTGTTTTTTTAATAGATAGAGTGATTAAAAAGGAAGGTTTATGTGAATAAATTGCGTGCTTTTAAAGTCAGGGCAGGTTGCTAGTAATAATTAAACTATAAATTTGGTTGTTAGGTAGGTTAGTACGCTGGGTAACTGGTGGTTTTCGATCATAACACCGAATAATTCTTTATCATTTAACTAATCTAGTAAAATTGTGTTGTGCTGGATCTGGTTGTGATTAATTGTGTGTGCATTTATATGTTTGTAAACATTCACGATACAGGAGAAATGAAAGTGAGGGACTGTTTTTGACTGAACTTAAATTAAAGCCAGATAATCTCATGGTATGTTCCTCTAGGCTAATTGGACATGCCAGCATGAGCAGAATAGAATATTGATGCAAATTTCCTTAACATTTCTTTTTTATTATGATTTAAAAAGACGTAGCCCCACATTAGGATTTTCACCTGTGTCGTGGGTGCGTTTACAAACATACAATTTCACATACACATGACACCCAAACCCGGAACAACAATTTGTGGATCACACAAAGAGTTGTTCCGTGCGGGAATCGAACCCGCGACACGTTGCACGGCAGCCAGTTGCCCAGCCACCGCACCAACCGTGCAGTCGAAACATCGAACATTAAAATGTATCGTTAAGTACCTTATACCACTTTTTTGGGAATTCATATTGCCAACTTAGACACAAATATATTTTGTGACTTCGCAGAAGACTTCTTCCTTCTTGCCACAAGCATTATTAAAATACAACTTAATGACAAAAAGTATACAATGGCTAATACCTCAAATACGTAATGTAAACATATCTTTACAATTGAATGGCTGAACAAACAAACTGACGTACAATCGATCAGTAGCTACAATACTGGATGGTGTAACGCTACCCGCAAGATATTTGTCGTGACCACTGCCCAACTGAGCTCGAAGGCCGTCGATAGAAATATTTAAGAAAATGACAACATTGAGACACAGTATTGCCATGCGAAAAAAAAACCATTGAGTTAATTTCGATAGCAGATAAGTAATTTTCACGCATTTCGATTTTCCTTTATTCAATAATAAGTAAAACTAATAGTTTTATTGTAAACTTATTGTCAACATTGTTATTTGTAAAGTGACAGGTTTATAATAGCACTCTGTGGTGACAGGTCTCTGTTACTGTCATAGACAAGTAAACAATTCTGTATTTTAGTATGTAAAAGTGGTACCCACCACTAAAGTAATAGTCGACTAATTTAATAGTTATGGTTAGATGTCGACATTAACCACTCTGATTTTTGGCGGCAATTCGAACTGTGGTGAACTCAACAATAAGATATATTTTTTAAATAATTATAATTATAACTTAGAATATTCAAGTATTCATTGTTTTATTTCTGAGCTAAGATCTAGTTATTACAATAATAATTTTTATTATTATTCTTTGTTTAAATGATAAATAAAGAATAATATTAAAAATTGTTGTTTAAAATTCTTGTCACATTTGTTGACGACTTGATTGTGTTTTGTTTTTTTTTGCGTCTGTTCGTTGTCAATTTGTTATGTAGGTATTTATTTGAATATTGAAACTGATCGAAGAAAAACTTGCAAGGTATTCAGGTTTGTGTTGGTAGACGTTTTGCATAATTTTGTTTTCTATTGTTGTTCTATGTTGTTCTTTTGAAATCACGTAATAAACTGACAAGATGGGCTAGATTCCTGCTTAAGTTAATTTAATTGTTTATTCTTATTTTGAAACTATCTACAGATGCATTCCATTTTGCAATAATTGTTGATTATTATACCAGACACATACTCACGCTTTGACTGAATAGATCTCATGATAAATTAAAACAAATTTCATATTAAATTAAATAAAAGCGTTAAACCACAGAACATTGCCCTTATAATGCCTACATAAGTGCAGCTAATTAATATTAGTTCATATAATAGCACTCATAAGAATTAATGACCATATATAATAACCCTTACTGCGCGTGTACTGTAGTGATAAAGTGTAGGCGAACACGTGTGTTCACATGGTCCAAATAGGGACACACGGATAGGGCCATAGTACCTCTCACTTTGCCGTACAGGTTGTTTGGTTTTTGCAAAATAATAATTGTTGCTTAAAAGCTTGGAGCATGGAGTTTCTTGCTCGTTCTTCTACATTCGAAACTACAATTTGGAACGAGCACCTAGCTTCACTGACGAACAGACTGACAGACTACAATTCTATTTTGACGTTTCAAAAGTACTTATTTATGGTTTAGTTGGAATAAATGATTTTGATTGAATTTGGTTTGATTTAAGCTTAACAAAACTACATAAAATTGGTTAAAAAAGTTATCTTTTTCATATGATTATTTATAGACTAGCGACGCCGGCTTCGCATGGTCGTAATGTTTATTCTTTGTTTTTTATGTCTCTACTATTTAATGTATGTATAGGTACTACTACTATTATATACATATAAACATTTTCTCTTTAATCACTCTATTTGTTAAAAAAGACCCATCAAAATCCGGTGCGTAGTTTTAAAGATTTAAGCGTACACAGGAATATGGGGTATTTATTTTATGCTTTGTAGTGATTCATAGATGATCTGTGATCATTTATTAGCATATAATTAAATAATTATGAATTAGAAGAAGAATTTAAATGTAAAATATATTATTAACTGAACACTACGTCCAATCTGAATCCGATCTCAATTCGTGAAATGATCCGTCATAGTCCTGCAACTATTTCTTTGGCAGTTTACGCCTTATATTCAGTTACCCGTCAGCCGATTTCTGTGTGAGATTTATAGACCCGTATTTTAATAGTTTCGGATCGGAATCCTAGTGGAGTGCGCTCTTAAGATGCGATAGACCTTAAATTAGATTCAGGCTTATTTAGTGTTAAACGTGGGGTTGCGGAGTAAGCGCAAAGAGGCACCGCGACCTCAGCCCAGAGCAGGAGAAGGAACAGGGAGGTTTTTAGTCAGTCATTCTGACACTCCCTCCCGTCCGGCCCGGGCGGGAGAAGTCATTCGATGATTTTCCCCTCACAAAAAAAATTATATAAGATACCCATAATTCCACAAAATAAATTCAATATTGCTTTTTCAACCCGCAAATCCTTTGCCATTAAGATTGAAATACATATCAGTTTTTTTTTTCATTGTAATATTTTGGAATTACCACAATTTCTAAAATAGGATTGAAACTGCGAGGCACCACCTGCAAGAAGTTGTATAGGTAAAACAGTTTTGATATATATGCTGATATCTTATCTCAATAATCTTATCAAATAAGGGCGTTCCTTATATTAAGTAAAACCTGTTTAACTGCAAGTCCTTTATAACTCTGCGCTTAAGGCAGTGCAAAGTTATTGTATCGATTCGTAAGTCACGGTGCGATTCCTTGCGGATAAACTAAAATGTATATCTTCGTGTTCGACGACAATCTTTATTTTATTTTAAATTATAATCTAGCTAGTCCAAACTAATATTATAAATGCGAAAGTAACTCTGTCGGTCGGTCTTTTCTTAACGCCTAAGTTACTGAACCTATTTGTGTGAAATTTGGCATAGACATTGTTTGGAACTCGAAAGAGGACAAAGGATAGTTTTTAAACCAAAAATCTGCAGAAATTCACTATTCCTAGCGAACAAAGTCGCAGGCAAAAGCTAGTTAGTATATTTTTATTATTAACTTTATATTTTTCGCCAAGCGACAAAGCCATACAAATAAAAAAATATTTTTTATTTACTTATTATGATGTTTATACACGAACTTCCTCGTTCTGTGACAAAATCCAAGTAGCTAGTTATGTCACATGAAGTAACTGAATTATTCGTTCCAATGACCGGCTGCCATCCGTCCAGTATTGTTCCAACGCACTTTCTTTGTCTTCACAGATTAAAGATTTCATAATGCATTGTTGCAGATGGCACTTTCGTTTTCAGAGCTACTCATTAAGCGTTACGTGCGTAATTGATTACTGCACTTTCTCTCGTTATCTTTATTTGTTGCGACTCTAACACATGTCTTAGGAAAACTGCCATATACATTTACAACTCATTTTCTCCTGTGTAAATTGAAGGCGATATTTTTATCTTTTACAGTTACTTGTTGTATTTTATTAGAAATTTTACTTAATATATCTCTTTCTACTTTCCAGGTGGAAGGTGTTTCGAGGAGTAGAAGGTTGCAAGCACCATCAGCTCCAGATAGCAATAATGTAGCTGAAACTGGACCTTCAGACACAGTACAGCCTACATTCAGACCAAGAAATAGTAGGCGACGCGAAGAAACTCCTCAGAAAGATGTCACCCGCACTAGAACCAGATCGAGGTCAGAGGTTGTTCCAACTCCAGAACAACCTCAAACTCCAAAAAACGAACGATTCGATTTGAGAAGAACTCGAACGCGCAGTCAATCTACTGTTACTGAATCTACTAACAAGGATGCTTCACTAACAAGAGAGCCAGTGACAAGGTCAAGATCGCGAGGTGGTAGCAGACGACCAACGACAGCCCCTGCACCCACTTCACCACCTCTAGACTTGACTTCTCCAAACATTGATGAAAGCAAAATCGAAGTTATCAATTCCAATCTAGATGATATAACAAAAATCCCAAAAGAGGACACAGCAACCTCGCAATTTAGACGTAGAACCCCTGCAGTTCAAACAACCGAGAAAGCTACATTAAAAAGATCGCGTGGAAGAGGTAGTACTCGTGCCAATGCCAGGTCACTAGATCTGGATGTATCGGGCACCACCAATACTTTAAATGTAGCTGAAAAAGCGCCCACAACCGCTAGGACTGCCCCACAACCAGATTTGAGAAATTCCAGAAAACTTCGGTATAAAACTCGTCCTTCGGAAACTGATACGAATTTAACAGGTGAAGGGCTCGTTACAGCTAACGAAGTCATAAAGTCTAGTCAGAACAAAGAAAGTGTTACTAGTCAAGCAGAAATTCAAAATGCTGCCCCAACCGCTGTCGAAACTATTGTTCAACATATTACAGAGGCGAACAAACCTAAGTCAACAACTCTAAAGGTTACAAAGGTAGTAAGACGACCACTAGGGAGAGGAAAGATGAACTTTAGACCATCTGTGTCTTTGCCGAAAGTTTCAGTTTCTGATGAAATAGCCGAGGATGATAACTATCCAGAAAGTTTCAAGGCTTTGATTCAGGCTAAGAATGCATCGGTGAGTAGAAATATATTTAAATATTTTTTCACGAAGAAAACAATCATGTCGTTCATATCGCTTTCTCTCTGGTTTTTCTTGTCAAGTTACACAAATGTATACCCAATCTCAATTAGAACAATGACATTACTTTTAGAATATATTCAAAGCTAGATATTACTCACTTATACTGTCAGTTACGTTATTATTATTGTCTTATAAAAGAGGCGTGGTAACTGACTTACTGACATTATTATGCACAAAAATTATGATTGAGATTTTTAAAACCTACATATCATGTCCAAATTAACTTTAACCCAGTATTCATACAACCAACAACGAGTGAAACAGCGCAATATAAATTAAATCGATACCCATTTTCAGACACAGGCGAGCTCTCCGACAGAAGAGAGCTTATCACTGAAAGCATCACAAAAAGTTTACAAAACCTACCCTGCATCATCACAGTCAACACTAACTGGACCTGGCACAAACAAATATTCACGGGTAAAAATATGTTACAGGGCAATTGGAGACTCACTCTTTCATCACCACTACTCGACATCCATACATAAATCCTTTCATTTCCTATATTATTCACGTCGTATTTTGTGACACACTTCCAAACACAACTTATTTTAAACACACTCGTTTGATTTTTATGAAAATGTGTGAAACGAATTTTTGTGTGTATTTGATGGAGAAAAATATAATTAAATTTCTTATTTTACAGTTTCGCAACAAACAAACAGCAGCGGAGGAGCAAAAAAACGACGATAAAGAAGACACTAAAGGAGCTGAAACAACTGTAGCTCCTGAGGTGTCAAAACCTAGGAATTCAGAATACAAGCCAAGAGGAACTTATTCTGCTCGAGCTAGAAAATCTACATCAAGCCCTTCCTCGACAACAGCAAGTACTATTTCAGGCCAAAGTACCGAGAAGCCAACGTACAAGTACAACAGAAAATTTAAAGCACCAAGTACTGAAACACCTAAAGCTGAAGTTAATAGCAAACCGGTTGAATTAAGCAATAATTTAAAAAAGACTTTTGTTCGACCACCAGTTTATTCGAGAAAATTAAAAGGAAAGACATCAACTGAAGCTTCGTCGACAGAAACTGTGAAAATTGAAAATCCAAGCTTCACCAAGAAAATGGTTCTGCCTCGCACATCTTATTATTCGAGGCTAAGGAATAACGTTAAAAATGAGCTATCGTCTACCACCGAAGCTGTTGTAGAAATAACTCCTGAATCAGCTCCTACAACAACTTCGGAAACCGTTGACGTTCCACTAGTTATCGCGTTACTAAATAATTCCGAAGATAGAAAAACTGCGAGGATTGATGCTCAACCAGAAAATAATGATAACCACATGTTTCTCATATCAGTTACCAGTAAAGAGTCCACGGAAAACAACACAAATAACGACATAATTAATACGGCAGAAGAATCAGAAAACATGCCTATTTTAAATGTTTCTCCAACAGCTTCGTCAAGGCTAGACAGTGATAAATATAGATATCACGCTAATTATAAAGATCAAAATTCAACCAATGACCTAGACAAAGAAAAAGGTTCGTCAACTGTAATTCCACCAGTGAGAAATCTACAAACTAGAAAATATGGACGAAGCCGAGTCAAATCTAAAGATGGTAAATCGGATGTTGCAGTAACTTCTCCAAAACCTAGAGAAAGAAGTATAAGAAAGTTCAGCGAATCCTTCTCAAAGACGACGGAGGCCTCAACTAATGGGGTAAGTAAAACCTTTCTCTGTAAAGTAGCCAAGAAGTGTTTCAGATGTTTTTCATTATTATTACCAAACTTTACAGATAACACCTGAACCTGATAAATCTAAGAGTAGGTTCAGTTCTAAATACAGAGCTTCGTATATTGATAAACCATTTTACAAACCCACTGTTCCGACTATTACATCATCAACTGTAAGTAACACAATACAAAGAATAACATATTACAGTATATTTTTAAAACTATCTTGTTAAAATTATTTGATTATTATATAGTAAAGGTTAGTTATAACAAAGCCCCTTTATTGAATTGGCGTTAAGATATCAAAATTTTAATACAATTTCATATCATAATAATATTCATCATGGCACTTGATATTATAATCATCATCACCGTTTGGAATTAAAAGCGTTAATTCTGATTGCAGAGAGTTTAATGAATATTTTACAGATAACCGTTTTGAGTTTAAATATTTTAACTAATTCGAAAGCCTAAAATACCTCTGCAATCAGATATAACTCTTCCCTAAGTAACATTTGATTTAAATTAAGTTTTAGCGTCACTGAAATGTGTCATTGTAACATTAATGAGAAATTTCTTATTGCTAAAGGCTTGGCTGAAATTCTACGTCACTGACCACCTGTTGACAAAGTCTGTAGAAGAGCCTAATTGGTTCGAAGGAGACATATACACTACCGAATCGATATCAAGACTGAACAACACAACGCCATACTTTCATGAATCATCCATTGAACTGGTTAATGGAATCATATAGTTAACATACATCATTGTCACGATCATTGCTCATTTCATTCACCCTGTTGTAAATTGATTTGATTTAGTTTTAAAGAGATGTAGATTTTAATTCACTTATTTTTGTAATATTAAGTTTATAATAGTAAATAGCTTTGCAAATTTAACTAAAAATCTCTTTAAAGCAAAATTTTACTTAGAAGTTTTTGCGTTAGTATCATCATTTTATCGCACAATTAATTCATTAAAGCATTTAAACAGACGCAAAAACTTAACAAACTAATGTACGTATGTGTAGAATAGCATTTACTAACATACTATTAATATAAGACATTAAATAATGTATACATGTTACATCTTGTTTTAATACATAACGTCATCTATGGCTAACTTTCATTTAACACTAACCTCCTAATATCTAACTATTATCTTAATTCCAAAATACGTAAAGAGGCTTTGGTCTTTGCACGAGTTCCTACTCGGGTTTTCACTCAATGCAAGATTTTCTTTTCATAATTGAGCATACTTATTACACCAAAACATCTATTTTTCTGTTTTTATGGGTGAGAATACTTCTTATTTCAGGTTGAGGGAGAAGAAATACAATTAGGGCCAGACCTGAACGCTATTTCCTTTACTCAAACACGAAGGACATTGTCCTCGGCAGACCTAAGGTTGTCCGAGAGTCTGGTGAAGCCCTCACACGTGATGAACGTTGAGGCATCACACCACTCGCCATCAGTTACAGTATCTATATTTGATGCTCTAGCTGAAATTCTCACGTCCACACCCAAACCACGAATCTCGTCAACAACCGAAGTAATGAAAATACAAAAACTTAATACTGATGTTAAACAAGTACTCGACGGCGTGAGTAGCAACGTTAATGTAAATAGTGTCCAAGACTTAGCGGGTCAGGACACATTTATGTCGACCAACGCCGATGTAAGCACTACTATTAAATCTGTACAGCCCACTGTTCAAGGCACACCAAATGTGATTAACAGTATTTTGGTCGGGGGAACTGTTACACAGTCACTAAACATAGAAGATGGAAGTAAAACTCCTGTGAATACACCACAACCCACTACTCCCACACCCACTCCCACAACTCCTATTTCCGCAAGGAAACCATTTGCCATTAGAGTGTTATACTCTGAAACAGAACCGCCAAAAGACAAAACCACGACTACATCCACACCAACTCAGGGATCGACTGACAGCCCAAAAATGGTATATAACACTGTGTCTGATCTTTTGTTGTCAAATAACAATTTAGTATCTTCTGAACTAACTAGCATGTTGTCAAATAACATTATAAATATTATAGAGAACATGGATGAAAATAGTAGATCAAAACTAAAGAGTTTAGATATGGCTAAAGTATTAAAAAGTTTGATTCCCCGAGCTTTAGGTGGACTTGCGACTGTACTTGACAATGCAGATTCAATCCCAAACACAACACCTTACAGTTTGGAGGATATTAGGGATACTGCAAATATTGTAATAGATGGCATAGAATCCAATAATGACCTCCAAAGTGTAAGCACTGGCGGTAATGTAAATATCACAGTAGATAATAGAAATGTACCCATTAGTGTCACACAAAATCCTGCAACTGTAAATATTCCTATCACGCCGGGAGCTGTAGAAAGCACGAGATCTATTTCTAGTAGCCAGGGGACGACGGCAGCTTCAACTTCTACAACAACCGCTAGTGTAGTACGGTCTACGTTCGATGTAACACTAACCACAGCTGCTGCTACGTCTCCTGTCTCCTCAGGAACGGACTCATTAAATGTAGATTTTATAAGTGAAACAAGTGACTCTACTAACAAGATTGTTCCTTTACCTTTTCTCACAAACTTCCAAAGCGATGACTTCACTGCTGGTGAATCTGATAATTTATTCAGTGCTGCAACAACACCTATTCTTAAGTCCTTATCCCTTGTATCCTCGTATGTATCACCACCACCGCGTGATATTGACGGAATACAAGATCCTAGTCAAGTATCGCGGTTACAATTATGGGTACTATCAAAGAAAGCTAGAGTATTGAAGATGATTGAGGATATTATACGACAGCACAATGACGAGTTAGCAACACTACCGCCATTGACTGATTTCGTTAGCCCATCTGGCAGCATCAACTTGTCAGAACGTTTAACAAACATAATGAATACCATGATAGCCTCGACTGAAACTGTGACGACTCGTGACATTGAACCTACTTCTCCTATGACTACCCCATCCTTTGTTACCAACCCTATGCCCACCAATGTGTTCGAAACTACTACAACTAGCAACACCCCAACTCTCCTTACAACTACGACGGAGACAGTATCATCAAGTAATGCGCCATCTACTAGTGAAACTGTCTTTGTATCTTCACGTTCGGGTCGCACCCAAGCAATCGATGGCACGACGGGTTCGTCTTCTGACACTACTACAACTGAAACTAGTGAAACAATCAATGATGTAACAAGTACCATGTCAACACCAACTACGGATCAGAAGGTCGAAATATTAAGTCGACTCCAAGAGGCTGCTATCACAACAACAACGATCGCTAGTTCAGAAACAATGGAAACTACAACATTAGTAGCCGACACCGAGACTACGACACAACAAAATGTAGAAACAACTAGATTCAACATAGACACCACTACCTCTACCGACGCTTCAGACAGCAACACTTCACAAACAACAGTTAGTACTTTAAGCGTTGGAACATCAGCTATTCCGAAAAAAGACTATGTTATATTCGGAATATTACCTAACAATACAGTGGTACGTAAAAATCCTAACGAAGACATATTGGAACAATTAACAGAAGCGAGCCCATATATCGTTTACGGTGTACTACCCAATAACACAGTAATACGTAAATTCCCGAACGGGACTAGAGTGCCACGAGTCATGCAAAAAATTGACATTCTACCAATCAGCCCGTGGAGTTTAAGAAATCCATACAGCCCCATCCATAATAATCCGGCCATTGTCAGACCGCAGCCTAACCCCATCCGAGAATCCACTAATACTGTGACATCCACAGACACATCAAATAACGGAACGGAAAGATTAACCAACGACACTGTAAATAACCAACAATCGATGGTATTGACTTTATGTTATTTAGCTTAACGCTCGGCTTGGTGCTTTTTTTCTCACTAGCAGGCGCAATGTCTCTGGAGCGGTCGGCGCATGTGGAACGGACAACGGGTCTTCGTAAGCTGTGCATGCCTTTAGCACGATAACCGCTTCTAATAACGTGAGCGGTAACATTTTATTTCGATATTGCAGATTACTCCATCGGCACTTAATATTAAAAGCAGTAACGGTATAACTACCACCATTATGCCAGAAAAAAGCACTGCCTCGCATGTATTGAGTTTACGCACAACTACAATGCTACCTTCTATTGATGAGATTCTGCTTAATAGTATATCTTCGGCCGCTATACAGGAGATGGTCATATCAGAAATGACGAGCTCTACTCGCGAACCAAGAATATTAACACTGGATATTGATCCGGAGGTATAATTATATTATTTATATACGTTAGACGTTTCCTTATTTATATATTTCTTTTTATAACTATGGTCACTAATATTCACTATAAACTATCACACATTTTCATATGCAATCATAACACTTGGACTTGGTATGCTAAACAAAATTAGCAATGATAAGTTGTTTTTTTAAGGTAAGTGGTGAAGGTTCACGTGATTAGTAGTTTGGCAATTACTTATATACAAATAAAACTGCTGTTTTTTTTTTGAAAGACAAAGTGATGATACCAAATTAACCTCAACCAAAACAATTACAGACGAAACAAATACGTACGGAAAAGCCAGGGGAAGGTGATGGAAGTGCCGTATTTAAATTCATTCCAATTGACGAAGTTACGGTACCGCCACAAAACTCAAACGTATTGAAACTGGCTTCAACTAAAACACCACCATCGACTAATTCCGTACAAACTGAGATACAAACCATGTGGACATCGTCAGTGACTGAAATGAGTACGCAGACACCACAAATACAAACACAAGAAACAACAATGAACGAAGGAACAACAACTCAGAGGACAACAATTATGCCTGAAATAACGGTTATGTCGTCTGCATTTACAAATGCTCCCGCTACTGTGCCGACAACCATGAGCCAGCCGACTACTCTACCTCCTACGACAACTACTACGTCAGCACCTACCACTACGACAATGGAGCCAACAACGACAACTACACCGGCGCCAACAACTACAACCACAACTACAACTACTACTCCAGCTCCGACAACTACAACAGTGGCTCCGACAACAACACAGGCACCTACTACGGCACAGGCAACAACGGTAGTCCAATCCACTACTATTAGCGTAGAAGAAGAGTTAAAGAGATATCGAGAAGACGTTCAATTGCTACAAACATTACTGCAAGCTACGGGTCGTGATCCAAAAAATCTAAATGTTAACTCATTATTGCTAGGTGACCTAACCACTACATTAAGACCTTTAACCACAACTACAGCACCCACTACAACTAGGCCACCTACAACGACAAGAGCACCTACTACAACTCAAACCACTGATCCGGTAAAGTTATTGCAGGCATTGTTTACAAATCCAATCAACCCCACAACACTTTCGATTCCAAATGTAAGTGGCAATTTACGAGCATCAACTGGTCAACAAGCAACTACAACAACAAGATCTATAGAAGAAGACATTAGACAATTTGAGGAGGACACAAAATTATTACAAGCCCTTTTACAGGCTACTGGACAGAACCCTGCTTCTTTAAACATACCCGCCTTAGATAGTCTAACAACCGTAAGAATCCCAACTACACAAACAACTAATATCCCAACTACAACAGCTTTACCAACTACTACTACTACTACTACTACTACTACTACAGTAAGACCAACAACAACAACTCGGCTAACAACTACAAATAGGCCATCAACAACACAAAACATTGAAGATGATATAAAACAATTCCAAGAAGACACGAAACTTTTACAGGCTCTGTTACAGGCGACTGGTCAAAACCCGAGCACTTTAAACATCCCAGTAATATCTGGTGTAACATCCAATGTAAGAATAGCTTCTAATCCTCAAACAACATCGTTGGGATCGAACCCAACAACACCGTTAAATATTAGGCCCGTATTTGCAACAACTAATGGTCCAGTATTTCAAACATTTGCTCCTAGAACTCTTACAACTACATTACAGCCTGTGACCGATGTTGGGATTTCCACGACTTTCACGCCTTTCAATCGTGAAAGGCTGACGACAACCATAAGGAGTGCTCCAACAACACTGACTGGTCGTCGTGCTCCTTTCACTGGATTTACTTCAACAACAGAAATGCCCAGTTCGTCTACGTTCTCTGTTGAAGAGGATTTGGCTTTCTTGAAGAATTTGGTAAGCTGTTATTTTTAATGAGTGGATCAAATAAGTTGTACAAATCCAGTTTTTTATTTTTGTGGATGCCTAATGTTTGTAAAATATTTAGTAAGGATAGAAAATTAGTTTAAAATACTTGTTCTGTATAATTATTTTTTCTGTTTACAGAAAACAGTTCTGAAAACAAACCCTAACAATGAAGATCCTGAAGCGGCTTTAGCGAATCGTATCATAGCACTAGCTGTAGAAAGGAGTCTCAATGAAATACAAACAGGCACGGGCGAAACAGCCCGCACGGGGAAAAATATAGCTGTCAGTGGAAACAACTTGATACCTTCCACAAATAGACCTGCAACAACAACTACTACACCTTTGCCAACAACAACAACAACAACGACAACTACTACTACTACAACTACACCACGTCCAACAACAACAACACAAAGACCAACAACCACACAGAGACCAACAACTGTTAATGGACCATCTATCGAAGATGATATTAGACAATTCCAAGAAGACACTAAACTTCTTCAAGCCCTACTTAAAGCCACTGGACAAGACCCATCCAAACTCAATTTGCCTACACTACCAAACTTAAATGTGAGTCCTAATCTGCCAAATGGTGTCAGTGATGATCTGAAACTGCTCTCAAATCTACTAGCTTCGCCATCACCGTTGAACGAACCGTTCGATCCACTAACGCCGAAGCCAACTATTAACTCAAATGTTAAGAAAATTAAAAACACAGCTCTGCCCTTTGGAGCAAAAATAGCTGTTAAGGATAATTTGAAAAATGATCAGGATGATGAGAAGTTGTTACAAACTTTGATCAAATTACAGGGCGCTCAGGAGACCACGACTCAAAGGAGTAAACTCACTATCACTGGTAAGTACAATTGTTATATTTCACGAAGTATCTATGACTATTTAATTTAACCGTCGAGATAAATTCCTAATTACGTAAGTAAACAATGAAGACATTAAATTGACACCGACTCATAAAAAATTCGTAGGACCAAAAACAATTGGTACTATTTAATTTACTTTTTCTAACCAAGAAGTGGCTTCATCTTCTCTTCTCCAATGTTGTATTGTAAAAAATTCATTTTGCTGTGCCCGACAGGGTCCATAATAGATTCAATGTGTATAACATATCAACTGATTTTATGTACACATGATGACTCGCAACAAAATGATTGAGTATGGAGTATTAAAGTGGGATAGTTGAATTTAAACAGCTTGAGATGTTTCCCGAAAAAATAATACTATCCGTCCTGAAAACGGTATGAGTGAACTCTTATTAATGTTCCAGGACAATCTTCCGATGAAGCTCTTAAGAAACTGATTCAGCAGACTCAACCGGCGGGAATGGTGTCCGAAGCAACGCGAGCGCCCATTTCTCTCAGCACCGAGTATGGCAAGAGCAACGACGCGTTGCTGGCAGCTTTGCTGAAGGAGCAAGGTTTCGGTCCAACCACGGCAAGTTCTTTGGATGAGCAACTTCGACTCGCTGTTAGTCTAACTTTTCTTACTTCATCTAATAAATTGGAAGAACATTAGCTTCTACCAAAGCCCATTCATAATACATTTAAAATTTTAACTCTCATAATATCACAGATGCAAACAACTCGTAACTTCACTTCGCTTCCTGCACCATTATCTCGATATCTGTCATCTGTCTCTTCATATATTTCATTGGCTCTATTTCAGTATTTATATCTAATTCATTAGGAACTCTAGAATTAACTGTAACCTCGTAGGCTTTACTCAACCAAGTGGTAGTGACGCCGAAGGCAAGACGGACGACGACGCCGCCGCCACCGCCACCTCCACCACCAGCACCGCGGAGGCCAATTTTAGATGGATTGGCCTGGCTCTGGCAGCAGTGGAGGGAGACTGCTCCGGGATCAGGAGCACCAAGGCCGAACAGAAGGCCTGAGCCTGCGCCCTCAGCCAGACCCGCCCCATCAATATCGTCAGCGCCGACGAGCAATAGGGGCAACTGGTTTGGCTCTGGGCCCTTCGTTGGGAATGCTGATGATAGACCAGGAAATAGAGTGGGTTTTGCATCGTTACTACTTAAACTATGTGATTGGGGATGAGGTGATGGGTACAGACTTTAGATTAAATATGCAGATTTTACTACGAATTTAATTTTAATTTTTTGAGATCTTTTAGTGAGTTGTTCCTATTTAATCTAAGTCTGGTGTTGTATAGATTTTTTGTATAGTAATGGAGATTTGGTGGGATGTACATAGTGAGAAATGAATTAAGATAATTTTAATATTTTTTTTTTGTAATATTTGTGTTTTTATTAGTTAAATTATTTATTAAACATTGGCTTCATTGGCTTGTACATACAACATTGTGCCGTTACGCAGCGCGTTTATTTTTTGTATAATAAAAATGTTTTAATTTACTTTTGTGTTTGTGTGTTGTATTAAATGTTAATAATTTACCCATCCACATTCCATCCATTTGTACACCAATTGTAAATAAGGTTATCGTAAAAATTGAACTAGACTTTTGTACAGCTATTGTAAAGGTAAAGACAGAAATTTATTTACACATATTCTTAGTACCAAAGTCCAGTTCAGTAACTTTCCTATCCTTAAACCATAAGGCCATGTGATCAAACCCGTACCACACTTCCAAAAATATGACTAACGATTTTTCTTTACTTGAATGCGTAGAATCCTTTGTAACTAATTTAGTTGATGTAGTGTTAATAAATATTAATATAAATACCTTATTAACGTCCTTTAAATGTGTAGTTTAATAATTATAAAAAGTGTTTCCTAATTCTATAAAGTGTTTGTGAAGTGTAATTAAAATCCTTCGGTGAGTAAATAAAGAGGATTGACTTTAATAATAACAAAATTAAAATTTGTCTAAATTACAATAATTAATTCTGCTGAATGCTTGCCTATTAAAATTACTGATGATCTTAATACTGTACTAAAGATATACCACTTGTGTGTTCCCTTTATGTAATTGTTAAACTAATGTGATTGATCAATTTTGATTCTTATTACAATTTTAATACAGGTTATTTATAATTTTATTGTTTCTAAAGCATGTTTTGACTAACCTATATCACTTTTCCTTACCTCTTGTATTATATTATTCTTTGTATATAGCTACCTACCTGTAAATATCTGTGTATATGTATTTTTCTTTTATTGTCTTATATACTTAGTACTTATACTTAGTACTTATCTTTCACAACTTGTCCTACACTTTTTTACTTTTTTTCGTGTCATTTTCATTATCAAACATTGCACCGTCATGATTCACACTTTATCAAATTAAAATAATAATAATATGAAGATTTTTAAACACATTTTTGTTTTCAATAAAAAACATAAGATAATAATCAATATTTGAAATTAATCTTTTAACAAAAATAATAATTAAAAAAATCTAACAATAAATTATTATAAAAAAAATCTTCATAAAAATCGCACAGCTCACCGCCTTAACATTACCATATATGCTCTTGCCATTATCATGTTTATTTCTAATACCTAACAGTAATACTTGATACCTAGATACCCCTGGAGCCCCCTAGAGCCGTGACGTCTCAACAAGAACCTGGAAGAGGTCAGCTCGTGTCAGCAGCTATTAATGTGACCAGAGCCTTTTCACAGTTCCTTGGAGCTGCGATACAGGTGATTATTGTAATATTATATTGTTATTATTTAATTGATTCGGATAGTGTACCAAAAACATTATTTATGTAGTCGCTATAATCATTAAAATGTATATTCTGCCTTTGTGTGCGTGTGTAATCGTCTGTCGTATGTTTTGTTTATTGACATTTGATTATGATTTTTTTTAATATTTTTTTACAGGGAACAATTATTTTTTAAATTGTTTTGTAAGTTTGTCACTAATTAGGTAAATCAACGTTTAATGAATTAAATATTTTATCATAATTCACGAATCAACATTTTCAACATAATTTTGTTAACACTAAACTTTTCAAATTAATTAATTATACCATATACTCATCAAACACTTAAACTGGATCGTGTTTTACTTACATTTAATCAGTAATTATCATGATTAATGATTAACAAATAATCAATTTTAAATTTTATATAAAAATACAGATTGCCTAAAATTTTATCTTTTAAACATATTTTCCTTGTTTGAGTAATTAAAGGTCATTTATATATTATAATATTTAAATATAATATTCTTTTACCTAATAAAAGATTATATGGATAAGTGACAAAAATACTACTCAACATCTCATTTCTTATAAAAAACATGAAATCACAATGATACTGATTTATAAACATAATAATTAAAGAAATCGGCATTACAGTACAAAGCGCGCGAAACAGTTTTCACATCTGACAGCCCCGACCTAGACCTAGACTCGTGCGCGCCGCGCATGTAAAATGGCGTAGGACTAGTGTTGCCAGCCCTCGCTTAGTAGGATTTTATTCCTATCACTTATCATGAACATGTTTTATAGATAATATTAAAATGTTGACTTATCTCATTCCAGGGTGCGGCCCAAACCGTACAGAGTGTGATCCGGGCCGGTCAGCGAGCCGCAACCGATGTCTATATGAACGGATCCGGTAATTCCGGATAACTGTACCTCAAAATAGACTCCAATGCGGACTCTAAACTTTTGCGAAAGTGTCATAGTACGCACTATGTGTTGCAAGTGCTCAAATGTATATAGTCGGTTGTAACTTTTATTTTTTTGTTATAGTAACACCGTAGGGTTGTTGTGAAAATGTATTTGAATGGTTCGATAACTTCTTCTCACAGTTTGGGATTCAAACGTATCAAGTTACTTGAATGAAGACAGACTTCATATAATTTATTGCTTTTTTTCAAAAGTAGAGAATTGAGTTTTTTTCAGTTAAAATCAAATACATTTTTTATATTTCTTTCTTCCAAATATGAAATTTTAGACACACTAGGTGTATCTTGATACGTTTCAATACAACTTGATCCCTAAAAAGTTCCTAAGCAGAGGTATTGAACGTTTTCAATCAACATCTACGAATAAAAATGATAAGGACTTTCTTGTAAAATATCTAAATAAATGTTTAATTATAAGTTAATGACAAATGAAGCAGAACATCTGTTAGGTTTGTAACCTAAACGTCTGAATCTAGACTTAGGCAAACAATGTGATGTTAGCACTATTTTAGGTTGTAATATTTAATTTTATAATAATCGTGTCTTCAACTTTCTACTTGCAATTTCATTACATGAAATTCGTGTATGATGAGGTTTCTATGACATTCAATTTTGTCATTAATAAACAATTAATATTAATCTCTTCAATTTATTACGCTTAGCAAACTTTGGTAGCTTTTTACTGCTATAGTTATGTTTTTTAAATTGGCAAGCTAACCTATTTCCTATTATAATTGGATTTATATTCTTAAGTGACAAGAAAAAAAAAACAGTTTTTTAATTTCACGATTGTACAATACTTAATTCAAAATTAATATTTGGTTTTTATTAATAAAAAAAATTATAATGATAAAAGTTTAATCCTTTGTCATATTAACATAGGCAATATTATTATAAGTAGAAATCAGATGTCGTATTGAATATGACAGTTAATTATACATATATAGACGTGTTTAGTTTATAAGTATCTTTGTAATCTTAAGCCTAACATGTGCCATTTGCACGTGCTTGATGTACTCGCTTCTACATTCTTCAGCTTTTATTTATTTATTTAAGACGATCTATGTTCACAGGGATGTTACACAGATTTGAGTTTTATAGTCAGGCGATTAGAAGTTTGGTTACTTCAATATAATGTTAAACGAAATTGGTCGTATGTCGAATAGGCTCTCTCAAGCAGCATTTAATCGAAATAAAGTGAAAATTAATGAAGTATAATTCCATACTGTTTTCTTTTTTTTATGTAAATATATTTTGTAGATTTGTATGTAGTTGTTAATGCTGAGAAAACTACACACTAATTATTATTTGATTTTAAATTACCTAGTTAGTTATTAGAGAAGAAGAACAATTAATAATTCTTATGTAGCTAAATTGCTGTAACTAAACTTACTAACAAACCTGACTTGTTAAACCTGAGGGTGTTTTAATTAGCGATCACCAAGCCGTTTAGCTTTCACTGACTTTAGTTTTTAATAATATTTAATAAGGATCGGGTACTGTAGAATTGATGCTTCTAAACAATTTTACAATTGCTTTTTTTATTTACTTACATTAAAAACGATTAAAATTATTGTTTTTTACTAAAATAAATGATGCTCGGTATTTACATTGCAGTCTCGTTTTATCTTATGTAAAATGATAAAGACAGGCAAGATTTACTGAGCTTAATCATAAGTAAACAAATTAATCGTAAGTAAGCAATTGTAAAATTGGTAAAGCACTGAATTATTTAATGTACTAGTAAAATTAACGGTCACTGCCAAGATTTGGACTAATTAATTTAACTAGATTTCTATGAATTTTATACTTTTATACTTAAATAAAATATGGGGTCTAAATTAATAGCTGATTGTAAAAGTATTTTATGTAGAAAAAACCTATTGTAACTAATAGATTTATTCCTCAAACTATGAGCTTGATGCTAACTACTATTAGACAGCTAGAATTTACTACGCCTCTTAAGAATCTGGGCTTCGTAATCAAGTATATACCTAATAATACCTTCGGGGGGATAATAGGAAAATAAATTATTTTGTAAATTATTCTATTGTTTTTCTTTTATTTACCTAAATGACAACTCACACATAGAAGTTCCGGGGTTGCGGGGTAAGCGCAATGAGGCACCGCGACTTTGGCCCAGAGCAGGAGAAGGAACAGGGGTTTTTTTAGTCAGTAAGAGTCTGACACTCCCACCCGCCCGGCTCTAGGCGGGAGAAGTCATTTAATGATTTTCCCCTCACAAAAAAACACAATAGTTATTTCTAACTTCTACTTCTGATTTAAATTTGCATTGCGTTGTGTAAAATTAAATTAAAATACATTTTTTTTTATTGACAATCTCTCAAACAATCAACATACATTTTAACATTTTTAGACTTTATCTGCCTTATTAAAAAACAGATTTAGGAGTTAGTGATAGCGTGACGGATGACAGGATAGAATGGAAGAAAAAAACGTATTGCGCCGACCCCAAATAAAACGGGACAAGGGCAGGATGATGATGATGATCTGCCATTCCAAAACAATGTTTTTCTTAAGTCTAAACCACTGAGCCAGTTTTTGTATGTATTTCAAATTAAAGAAAGGCGAGAGTAAGATTCAAAATACAAAACCTGACTCAATGCTTTAAACCTAGACTAAAGATAAATTTTGTTTTGAATAAGGGAGGGTACGAGTATTAGTTATCAGGAAACCCCCACATTCTGGTACAGCAACCCACAAGTTTACAAAATGGTGCCCAATAATTTCTAGTAGGCGTTTACCAAATGACGTTTTTTTTTGAATATTTTCAAGTACATACCTACTTAATTGAGGACAGCTTGTTTTTAATTATTTTATTTTATATTATTTATTTGTTTACTAAATATTAAATAAATATCATAATATCATCAGCGTATAAAAACCTACTGCTTAACAAAGGCCTCTTCTTACACGAAGAAGGTTTGAGCATTAATCACCACGCGTGGTCAAGGGGATTGGTGATGTCAAACTTATAATTAGGTATTATAAGTCCAGTTTTCAGGGTATGTCAGTGGTGACTAAATAATCGTAGAAAGTGGACTAAGTAGAATTACGTGTTTTATAGGAAACTGGATTGAAAAATGAAACAAAAAAGTGTAACTTGCTAAGTAGTTTCAACTTTCAACTAGCTATCATTTAACTCTCTTTTTCTCTTTTTTTAAAACGTTGCCCCACATTAGGATTTTCTCCTGTGTCGTGGGTGCGGTAACAAACATACAATTTCACATACACATGACACCCAGACCCGGAACAACAATTTGTGGATCACACAAAGAGTTGTTCCGTGCGGGAATCGAACCTGCGACACGTTGCACTTCAGCCAGTTGCCCAGCCACCGCACCAACTGTGCAGTCGGACATAGATAGCTTGAAACTCTGTAGGAAATTCTTTATTTTGGGAAAATACCCAATAAGCATTATTCATACCTAATTTACAACACATTAATGCTTTGTCATTATGATTAAGGAATAAAAGCAATATCTTCATTGTCCTAGATCCTAAAGTGATAATACTGATTAGTACCTAGTAGAAATTGTCACATGTTTTGTATTATTTGTCACGCTACTTAAAATTGGATTGTAACAGTGACTGTTAAAATTTAATTTAGATTGGATTATAAAATTTATTAAATACTTTAAAATGAAATGATTAAATGGAAAATGCCTACAAATTATACATCCGTTAGATTACCAGTTGCTTAATGAGGGCTTTGTGGTAATTCGCATAATATGAAAAAGAATAAAGTAATTTTTACTGTCTTTTTTATTTTTATACTTGGGTATCAATGCTTTCCCTCGACCGCTTTTGATGCATGCTTGTGAGGGTCCGAAACTTTACAAGTAGGTACCAATGTGACTTTTTCCGAGTTATACCTATGTATTTTCTATGATTATATAGACACAACTGACACAAGGTGAAGAAAAACATCGTGATAGACCCTATACTTATAATTTCTAATTAAAAGTTTGAAATCGCCAATTCGGCTTGAGCAAGCGTGGTGATGAATGTTCGAACTATCTCCGTGTGAAAAAAGGCCTTTACTCAGCAGTGGGCACTTATAGGCTGATAGTGTATGGTGTCTTCTCTGGATTTTAGATATTTGGTACAATCTCTATAGGTATCGATTTGAAAGTGGGGTATAAAAAGCATAGTCCATAATAATCATAACGGATAAGACAGCCTAAAATAAAAAATGTTACAGCGAAAGAGTTAAAAAACATTTACTGCTATATTATTCAAATCAAAGGCACAAACTTCAAAGATTAAAATCTAAACTAACAATTATGTATTATACACTTAATATACAAATACCATAAACCGCAAATCAGAACTAATGTTATATTAATGCAAAAGTAACTCTGCCTGTCGGTCTGTCTTTTCTTCACGCCTAAACAACTGAACCTATTTGTGTGAAATTTGTTACAGACATGGTTTGGAACTCGAGAAAGGATATAGGATAGTTTTTAAACCAAAAATCTGCAGAAAGTTACTATTCCACGCGAACAAAGTCGCGGGAAAAAGCTACTTAGATTATAATTTAAATATAGCTAATGAATTCGAAGGCACCAACTAAAACGAGTTTGTAAAATCACGATTAGAATTTAATGTTTATCGACCTTGGCGTGAGTGACAGATGACTTTGTAGTAGCTTTTTGTGAGCACCTGGGTAGCTGTGTGGCTAATAATAACTAAAGGCTTGTTCAGAGATCGATTGTAAGACAACTTAAAAGGATTACGAATAACTATTGTGTTTTGAAAAAGATAGTTGATAAAGTTTATGCCTAATTGAGAAATATGTGTTATTGTGTACCTTTGGAAACAGCCATTATTTAAATGCCTATAAAACTACTAAGCTATTTTATTAAATTATTTTATAGTATAATAGGTATATTGGATACTTTCCTAGATAAAAAATAT